CCCACATCGGTCTTGCCAACCCCTCTTCTTCCTGATTGACCTTTTCCGTTTCTGCACGTGTGAGGGGCTTGTGGTCTCGCCTTCCTGTGCCTGGTTTGCCTCAGTATAACTTAAAACATCGTCCCTTTCCATCGGTTTTGCTGCAAACGGCAGGATCGCGTTGCTCCTCCTGGCTAACGGGTACTCCTGGTGTCTGGTGGTGGACCTACGCTATTCATATCTTAGCCACTGTGAGTAGCGCTGACTTCAGTGCCTTTCGATACAGTGAGTCAGCTGGATCATAAGGAAAATAGATTTTTAGCTTTTTTAAATTTTATTTTAAAGAGAAAGATTCATAGCAAAACTGCTCCATGCCTTCTTCGCTACCTATTCGAAGGACTCAGCTTGCTCTAAATTCTTAGGACGCAGGACCTGCCTCCCTTCCACCAGGCAGCGTTCCTCTCAAGTTGTCTAGAAGGAAGGGTGTAACATGGCTTCCGTGAAAGTAAGTCATGGCCACAGAACAACCATTCCCAGGTGTGAAGTCTCCATAAAGAAAAATGCCTGACTTTATGTAGTTAAAAAGATTAACAAAGTTAGAGTCTAAATACAGGAAAATTTCATTATAAGAACGATATACCCAGAACTAGCAAGGCTGAGGCAGGGGGATTGCATATTTAAGGCTAGCTTGGACTACACAGCAAGACTCTGTCAAAAGAAAGAAAAGAAAAACAGAACAGGAGGGAGAGAGGGAAAGAGAGAAAGGGGGTGGAAATACAAGTGGTTTTTCAGAGCACAGAAGACTGACCAGGGTCGGGCTTGAGGAGGCTTCGAGAGTTCGCCCTCCCATGAGCTCAGGAGTCAACTTGCCACTGTTTATGGATGTTTACAGAAGACTAATAAACCTCCTCAAGAAGGGCAATTTATTACTCAGCAATTAGCAGCAGCAGCAGCGTGTGCGTGTGCCTGTGTGTGTGTGCCTGTGCCTGTGCATGTGCGTGCGTGCGTGCGTGTGTGTGTGTGTGTGTGTGTGTGTGTGTGTTGATCTTTTAGTGTCAAATTTTTAAAAGTCCTATAAACGTGTTACTTGTGATGAGTTTCAATCCAGGACAAAGTCCTCTGAATGTAGGAAGCCCAAACCTTTTATAACAGGCAGTAGGCACACACTTGGCTCTCAAGGGCAGCAACTCTAACTTCCAAGGCTGTTTGCCGCACTCCAAATGTTCTTGAAGAGGTAGGTCAGCCAGAATGAAGGTGAACTCTGCTGGGACAAGAGGGACCCCTGCGGAACTGTATCCTGACATCTGCAGCAGGGAATTAAAAACAAGTATATAAATGAGATTGCGTCTTCGCAGCAACTCTGTTGAAAGTAAACCAGTCTTTCCTGCTTGCCAGGACCATCCACTTCTAGAATCTACCGGAACAAGAGGAAGCCAAAGAAAGTTGACCAACCAACTTTATTTACTATTTCCCCAAGGAGCCTGAACATGAAGAAAACATGTCCCAGAGTCAAACCTAGCCTTGTTTCCAAAGTTGAACCGGTACCAGAAAAGCAGGTTTTGAGGGCCTCATCTGCAGCTGTTTTGAAACATCTGGTGTGGTGTGCTGTGGTGTGCTGTGCTGGTGTGATGTGAGAAGACAGAGTGAAGGGAGATGGAAAGCAGCAGGTCCTATAAAGCAATTCATCCCTAGGCAAAAAACACACCAGAAACAAGAGAGAACCAGTGAGATCCATGAGAGCATCACCATGGTTCTTCAAGAGAAGCGTCAGTTATGTTCTTGAGGTTGGGGTGAAAGGGAGCTGGCAGAGCCTGGGCAGCTGGGTCTCTGAGGCTGAGAAAATGCTCTGGGTTTTTTTTTACAAGCAATTTGTGAACACACAGGAAGTTATTCTCCAAACTCCTAAGGAAATGGAGCTAGTTTTCAACAATAACTCTACGGCCTTACTCAGGATAAAAGGAATTCAAGTAAAACAAGTAAATAAATACAACTAGGGGAAAATACTGATATACTTGTGTCCAATATGAAAGTGGCTTCCAGAAGGCTCCAGCTGTCAAGTATGCTTGTTTTCAGAAAGACCACAGACGAGAGCTCCTTCTACCCACAGTATTTCTTTCAGCACCTTCCTACCTTGGACAGCACCATTAAAAGGTCATGAGCTTTGCACCCAAAGAAAGACAAGAGTCAAAGAAAGAGAGGGAGGTAGGGAAGGACCCCCCAAAATGGACGGATTCCAGGGCAGATATCAAGATGGAGTCCCAATGATAGTAGACCCTGATGTGAAATTATGACCCACAGCCCTGGAACCCATGGTTCTCTTGCTAAACTGGAGTCACATGGACAGTGGCTCATGTTCTCAGCCATTGAGCTTTCTTGGAAAGATCTGGAAGTAACCATACTTCCCGCTACTATTGCTAAGCTTATTTTTTTCAGCCTTTCAAGGAAACTTCAGGAGGTAAGTAAAAACACAATATCTTATGTGTTCCAAACACCTTCCCCTCAGCTGGGTTTTCTTGTCTTCCCAGCAAATGGATATGTGGCTACTCCAAGCTCAGCTGATAGGCCAAGTCCAGGGACTTTGTGTTGGGTCAAGGGGTGAGGGAAGGAGTGTAAGAACTCTGAAACAGAGAGGCAGCACCTGCTGAGCAGGAAGCCTCCTGTCCTCCTGTGTGAGAAAGAGCTCAGGTGGTTAAAATCTCTTCATCATCAAAGCCTGCATCCCAACACCACAGCTCAGACATCTGAACCAGCTGCAGCTCTTCAATCTCATTCCTGTGAGTGGTACTGACAGTAATGCCCACAAGAGGCAGAAAGTCCAGCAGTCATGAGCCATAGGGAATAGTGGAGTTAAGCTGGCTATAAGACGAATTGCTAAACAGTCTTATTAATAAAAAACCCGGAGTCCGATATTGGGGTGAATTCTGAAAGATCAGAGAATCAGAGCTAGCCACAGCCAACCTCACCTGACAACTCTTCATCCGATCCTGTTTCCACGAATCCTCAGACTGAAAGCCTCTGAGTTCTCACCCTGAAGAGATCTCAGCTGAACTGCTGCTAAAAACCTGAAAGCTTAAAAGCCTCTAGTTCCTGGTCCTCACATCCTATATTCCTTTCTGCTTCCTGCCATCACTTCCTGGGATTAAAGGTGTGTGTCTTTCTCAAGCAAAGACATGAGATCTCAAGTGCTGGGATTAAAGGTGTGTGTCACCATTCTTGGCTATTTCCTGTGTGGCCTTGAACTCACAGAGATCCGGATGGATCTCAGTCTTCAGAATGCTAGGATTAAGGGTGTGTACCACCACTGTCTGGCCTCTATGTCTAATCTAGTGGCTGCTCTGTCCTCTGACCCCAGGTAAGTTTTATTAGGGTACACAATATATTGGGGGACATAATATGTCATCACAGCTGGCTCCTGTTTGAGTCTGAGTCCTAAGGTCTAATTATCACCTTAGGTAGACTGCCAAATCTCCTGAGTTTATTTCCTCAAATATACCGTGATGATGATACGGCTTGCTTCATGAGATTAAAGCCAGAATTAAATAAGGCACAAAGGTGTTTAGCTCAGGAATAATGCTTATAAATGGAAGCATACCATAAAGTTTAATTTGCATTTCCCAGTGTTCCATGGAACCGGAAGTTGAAGTCATCCTGCAACAATGAGCCCCTGCATGATGAAGAGCCAGCATGTCCATGTGCCAACTGCCTCCTGCAGTAATTGCATCAATTATGGAGACGGATCTCAAGCCAGCACACCATATAAAACAGCTAGTGGGGCTCGATGTGGGGACCTGGAAAAACAAGCCCTGTGGTCTTAGGGAATGTAATGGGTCAGAGCCCACTGAGGTCTATGCTTTTCTAAAGTTCCTCAAGTAATTCAAATATTCGCTCAGATCAGAACCACCACCCTAGCTGAGGAGAGACGTGCTCAGGAAGAATCTTCAACACTTGCTGACTTCTTTGATAAGCCAGGCATAGGACTGGATGCTGAGTTACATTCTGTCCCCCAGAACGACAATCCCAGGGCCTAACCCAAGAGATTCACATGTGGGCAAGCAATCATAGCATTGCAGATGCGTGCTGGGATGGACCACATGCCAAGCTGTGGGTGAGCACCTTGGAGGACTGGGGGGAATCTGTTCCAGCCCTCTCAACAGAGCCTGCTGGTGGAGAGGATGTTCTAGGCTGAGGCAAAATATTTTACAAACCCCTGATGAGAAAACTACATGGGACATTCTGGAAACCCCAAGGATTCCATGGTTCTGAACAGAACCAAACACTGAAGCAGGGAGGCAAGGGCCAGTTCCTCTGAAGGTGTGATGAAGGGTCAGTTTTTAAGAAAAGAGTAAAGTGACTGAATCATTCTAACTACTGAGTAGAAACAGCAGAAAGAGATAAGACCAGACATGGAAAAGCCAGTTCTAAGATGGCTGCCACAATCTAAGGAGGTTCAACAGGGACAGACTTAAAAGGGATTTTAGGTAAGCATCTAGCAGTATCACCCGTGAAATCTGGGGATGCCATTGAGCTAGGGTGAGAAGGAAGGTCAGAGTGTGCACAGGTGGGATGGGAGACTTTGGGAGGAAACTGGACTCCTGCTTCATCTGCTGCACATAACTTGGGCTGGTCAAGCCTGGTAGAAATCCTGCACATATCACATTTTCCTGACTCCTAATGTGCATGACATTCTATTAACTGGAATGCTTTATTAATTTTAAATCCTTACAGGTTTCTCTCAGATGGGAAAAGAGGAGTTTTAATGAAATGAATGGGGCACAGCCCGGGAGAGCCCTGAGACAGGAGCCAGCAGGACTGAGCACACATTGCTAGTCTTGTTTCTTTCTCAGGCCAAGAATGTGGTGGGTTCTCTGCTGAGGACACCAAGAAGAATGTCAGGATTAAATGCTTGCACATATTTGGAAAATGAGAGGCTAGCTCTATGGGCATTTGGTATCTTCATCTTCAGAGAACACAGCAAAGTGAACACTACCTTGTGTATTCTACAGTCATACACACAGACAAGCTTGTAAGCAGCTCCCTTTATTTGAGTAAATAGCTTGTAAATAAACCATTGGTAAACATTACAAAATTAAATACATTTTCAAAAGCTTGCCAGTATACGGAAAATTCACAAACATAGTTCTTTTAAAAAATAAAATATGTTCAAAGCACCCTTGATATAAAATGCCTGGTCCCTGTCTTCAGACAGGGCCACCTGGAGACTTCTTACGGCAGGCAGGGTTTCCAGGGGGAGGCAGCAGGGGCTTCCTGGAAGGAAGGAAGGGTTTCCACTCACTTTTCACCCCGCCTACATCCCATATGAATTTTAATTCTTTTCTAAAGAGCTGGTATATCACTGAGGGGTTAGGGTAGGCACTCAGGCCTAGCTCCCACCATGGACATCAAGGTCACAATTAGGACCATGGACCACTGAGAAAAACCAGAGATGAAGCCACACATCTAAACCAACAAGAGTTGTGAGGGGCCTTCCCATCTCTATATTTTCTCAAAACTCAGTTTACACCTCTGGACTGATGGTACCCAGGCACAGAAAGGGCCAGAATCTAACCTCTAAGAAGGAAGAGGCTCAATCTGCTGGTTTCCCTTTGACCTGCTTTCATGGACAGAGATAATACATAGTATTGCGTGGAAAGCAGAGAACCTGTTGCTACACAGGGCTTCCTTTCTCCGCTGCAAAACTCTCCTCAGGAAGTGTGGGCCTTTCTTTAGAAATCAGGTTGGTTCTTGAAATTAAGAGTTCATAAAACTTTAAAAGACCACAATGAGGCAATAAGAACATGACCTGGCGAAGCATCTCAACCAATGAAAATAAAGGAAGTCCATAAATTAAGCCCTTGACCAACTCAGCATGTGTGTCGTATGGCTCGTTGGAATCATGGACACACCCAGTTCTTTCACTTTGGCACAGAAAGTGGATGCTGGAGGTGAACCGCATTTATATGAAGAATGCCTGGAGGCATCTTAAAAACACATGTTCTGTGACCTCTTTGAACACGACAAGCACAGGTTTGTTCCATCAACATGAGATAAAGCTCACATTTCTATTTTTAACTTAGTGTTTGTAGATATATACAAGCATGAGATATTTTTGACATCTTAGTCAAATGTATAACTTAAAAGATGTCTTACCAAACCGACCATAGAAAACCATCTTCCCTGTACAGTAAGATCCTCATTTCGGCTGCGTCCTTACAGAAAACATTGACTGGCCTCCCCCATCCTTGAGGCTGCATCAGTTTTGACAGTCCTTGTTTGGGCTACCATCCCAGTTGTGATAGCTTTGCCATTAAAATATTACAGTAACAAAAACTCTTTAAAAATAACAAAAGAAGGAACACTTTTGAATAAACGTCTAACCCCCCACATACACACGCACCCAAAAAAAATGTTGTTTGTAAAAGACAACTATGGTTATTTAATAAAAGTATTCGTGAAGTCCAAATCCCAGGTCATTTTCTTCGTCTCCGAGAGAATTCTACCCTGTTCCAAAATTATACGCTCTTCTTCTGCGGAGGGCTCAGCTTCCTCATGCCTCTTATCCGGGAGAGCAGCTCTCTGATAAATTCCTAAAAGACATCAAGGAAGTTAATACAAAGAGGCCACATTACTAAAACCTGTGCTGGAAAATGTGCCTAGCATCACTGATGTCAGCTACAGTGAATGAATCTGCTTGGAGGGGTTAAAACTCCAATGTAAAATAACAAAGGAAGTTTTAGGAAACTGGGAGGTTCTCAGATTTCACAGCACAGCCTTTTTGCTCTATTCTCTATAGAGAAAAAGCTAGGTGATGTCATTGACAGACATCACCCATGTGAACTCTACAGGCATGTGTGACTTCTAAGCTCAGCAATGTGTATGTGTGTATGCACACACACATACACACTGTGTATGCACATACCTGGACATCTTGTGATCCCTGCTGTGTAGAGCCAGGTTAAGACTTAAGATTCTATCATTTCCTACTAGGTTGTAGACGTCCCTAGACTGCACCTGGATCAGCAAAGCTGGGCCACTGGGTCTCACAGCTGAGTATCCGATCTACCCAGGGGATTTAGTCACAGGTTGCTGAGTCCACCCACCTTGGGGCATCTGGTTCAGTACATGAATATGGATAGTGACAAGGTGCCTTTTTGGCAAGTTCCACAGTGAGACTGATGCTGCTGAAAACCAGTCTCTCCAGCTACTTAAACTGTAGATAGTGACCTCACGTGGGTGAGGTCATGCCACCAAGACTAGCAGTCATGGAATATTTGTCAACAGTGCAAGGTTTTTGCGCACATACCACACCCAAGATTAATGCAGTCATGTGTGTAATAAATCCAAGGCATTCCTAGTGGCAACTGATGCATTTAGTGTTTTCACTGTACATCCCAAGTTTTCTGACATTATATAAATGTAATGGTTTAATTATGGAAAAAAAGACTTTTAATAATCTCTGCTGTCCATCATAGAAATATCAAATTAGTATATCCTTGTACTGTATCATGTTGGAAGCTTTGAATTTTAAAAAATTGCTGCTTGAGTTGCTTACTTGAGTTATATATATATATATATATATATATATATATATATATATATATATTCATTCATTGGTACAGAATTTCCAATAAGTTTTGAAATGGACCTAAATGTACTTCTGCCATTTTGTACTAAATATTTCTATGAAGTGTCTTGTGTTTTCAGTATTGGTCATATCAGTGGTTCTCAACCTGTAGGCCATGACCCCTCTGGGGGTAGAATGACTTACTCACAGGGGCCATCAGAAAACACAGATTATATTATGACTAATAACAGTAGCAAAATTACAGTTATGAAAATAATTTTGTGGTTGGGGTCACCACAATGTGAGGAATTGTCTTAAAGAATCCCAGTGTTAGGAAGGTTGAGAACCACTGAATCATATCAACCAACTCTGGAAAAAAAATACTGAAATGCTCTACACTCTGAAGTTTCAAATAGTCAACCATGTTTACCTCTTTATGTAAAAATAAACAAGTACATTGTTAGAATAAAAATTGTTTTTGTTTTAATAAATGATAAAACTATATGTATAACAAAGAATTATTTTAAAATGAATTTCTTTATAATTTATAAATGTCTCTATAATTTGTGAGTGTTTTGTTTTTATTTCCTGATTTAAATACCTATATACTGAAGTTGTATAACTTTTTAAGGCAAATATATTGTGTGCATGTATGAAGTTACCAAAGAATAAATACAAATATTAAACTAATTACAGAGAAATTCTTGTGTGAAAGGGTACTGCTGGTAGAGAAAGTTCTAGAAGCCCTGCTCTAGAGCATACCAAGAATCTTTGAGATTTTTTTTTCTGTAAATCATACAAACAAATATAACCGAAATTGCATTTGATGTTACAGTTCAGTACCTACACACACACCTCCATTTAAACTCACAGAATAAATTCCTGCCACATATACTCTTCTGTTTCCTATTCTAGTCTAAAGTGATTCACACAGAAATGCTGGGGAGACTCACTAAAATGGTTTCTTGATCTCTATTCACTGCTTCCATGACTGATGTATGCAGAGTTGGGATGAAACCCAGGGCTTTGTGCATGTTAGGCAAGTACTCCACGGAGTTATACCCCCAGTCCTAGTGACTTCCTGTGGACCAAAACCAAAGACTGAGCATCGACCTACAATTCCTATCTTGTACCATTAAGAAGCTATCATTTCACCTTGTATTTTTTAATGTTCAGCTTCCATTAAAGTAGCATGTATTAAGTAATAATTGCTTCCTTTTCTTATTTTGTATTTGTAAAGACAAAGTCTTCCTATTTTGTATTTGTAAAGATTAAGTCGACAGCCAGCTGGATTTTCTGGCCAGTGAGGAAAGATAGAATTAAGAGTGATACCAGGGCCATCGCGGAGCAGACATAGATAAACTAATCTTACAGAAGTATCATGGTTTAATTATGTGGAGACTTTTCAAAAACTGGCCCTCTGGCAGTCTTCCCCTGCCAGCTACACCCTGCAGTCATTAATACCCAGACTCTGTGAGAGGGCCATGCACTGTTCTCTGGCCCCAACCCATAATAAGCTTTAACATGTGATACTTTGCCTACCACCACCAAAAGTCTGATTTTTAATAGTCTTTGCTAGTATAAAACTAATATGTGCTTTGGCTTAAGTGTTTGGAAAACACAAACCAACAATGGTTTGTATTATAGAATTAATCACACTTAACAGATTTGCTGCCAGGAACATTGATTTTAGCTATTTAGATCACACTGTGTGATCCTTGTTGTCTACTTGACATTATGTCAAGCTTTCCCGCACTACATGAAAATCTTCCTAAAAGCAAATGTTCATGGCGACACAGTCCTTTTATGGGAAATATCACTACTAAATTCCCCAGCACTAGATTCTCGGATGCTTCTGGCTTTTCCAAATTATAACACAATGATACAGCTGAAATCTGTAGGCTTCAATAATGGTCCTTGGTCTGGTTCCACGAGCTGGCCAGAGAACTCACATATTTAACTCCCACCGTCCCAAACAGGGTACAGCAGAGGAGTAAGATGGAAGCCCTATTTCAAGTTTCCATACACCTATCTAATTTAAAGAATGTTCATGGATGAAATAGCATCACTTTTTCCCACGTATAATTAATTTTCATTTTGAAAAGCTGAGTTTCTCATTGCCACTTGACTCTGTGGTTTAAGCAGACGGTTGCATCTGGCAAATTCACTTTTAGTTTCATTGTTTTGGAGACTGCTATACAAATAATTGTTATGTATATGAGTGTTATGCAAATGAGTGGCAGGAGTCAAATATTCCACTATACATTTCCTCTTTCGATAAAACCCAAGGTCAGAATCACAAGCCCCGTCATTTATTTCATGAATAACTCTCGTCATTTTCTACTGTTTTAATGAGATTTTCACAAAGTGAAGATGAAAATCACGAGGAAGAGCATATTCCTAAACTTCCTAAACTGAAGGCCTTTTCCCTCAAGACAAAAGTGACTTTATAATTTAAATCAAATTCAAATTCCACAAAATAATGTAGGTGAATCTCAGAGATTAAAATGTTTCAATATAATTTGTGTTTATAATTAATTAATTGTGCGTGTGCGTGTGAGTGTGTGTGTGTGTGTGTGTGTGTGTGTGTGTGTGTGTGTGTGTCTGTGTGTGCTATACCATGGCAAACAAATGTAGGGTCAGAGGGACAACCTCAGGCCATGGTTCTTTCCTTCCACTAAGTGGTCTCAGAGATCAAACCCAGATAGTCAATCTGGGCATCAATTATCTTCTGAACCATCATACTGACTCCTCATTTTAATTTTATAGAAATATAACTTTAGCATGCTTAATATACTGAATATACTGTCTAATCTTGGTGGTCAATCAATGTGACTACATCTGGAATCAACTAAAACCCAAGTTGCTGGGCAACAGCTCCAAGGGATTTTTTAAAATCAGATTATGTGAGGTGGGAAGACCCACCCTAAATCTGAGCTACACTTTCTAGTGCAGTCCCCATAAAAGACTATGGGAGAAGGAAACCTTTGCTTTTTGCCTGGTTGCCTTCACTCTTGCTGGTAAGTTCATCTCCCCTCTTGCTGCAGCAGGAATTCAATCCAACTTCCTCAGTAATCCAATGTAGACTGAAAACCATGAGCTCTCCAGGAACCCTCTGGGACTCCAGCACTGGATAGGAACTGCTGAGACATCCAGCCTTGTTGACTGAACAGTTACTGAATTCTCTGGCTGTCCCATTGGGACAGCAACCCTTTCACTAACCAGACTGCATCCTGTAGGTCAGTCTAATAACACTCCTTTTTAATATGCATGCTATCAGTTTTGTTCCTTAAGAGAATCCTGACCAACACAAATGTATAAATGCCTGTTTAAATTATTCATTAAATTTGCACATTTGGCTGCTCAGTTGAGTATGTGAAAAGCAACAAGACCAATATGTATTCCCCAGACAGAAATGTGACCATGGCAGTTGCCCAGAAGAATTCAGTTTATTTTCCAGATGATTCTCCAGGAAGACTCAATGATTTCTAAAAGAATACCTTGATGGCTCTAGGTCTGTATCTCAAAGGTACTTTCAGCCAGTGACAACACATTCCATTTATCTCCAAAATTTGGTCTTAGACTGAAGATACAGATTTAGTCAGAGGTGGGAGCAGGTGGGGAGATGGGGGGGGGGGTGTTGTCCTTTTGTGGAAGTGACTGCTGAACTGAAACCTGAATTAACTGGTGTGGTAGTCTGAAAGAAAATGGCTCCCAAAGGGAGCGGCCCTATTAGGAGGTGTGGCCTTGTTGGAGGAAATGTGTCACTGTGGAGGCGGGGCCTTGAGGTCTCATATATTCTTAAGCCATACCCAGTGATTCAGACCATTTCCTGTTGCCTGCGGGTCAAGATATAGAACTCTCATCTCCTTCTCCAGCACCATGTCTGCCTGCATGCCACCTTGCTTCCCACCATGATAATGGACTAAACCTCTGAACTGTAATTGAGCCACCACAGTTAAACATTTTTCTTTATAAGAGTTGCCATGGTCATGTGTCTCTTCACAGCAATAGAAACCCTAA